TTTTTAAAAAAGGTTTGCAAAAAAAGTGGGAAGGGGACGTGCAAAAATTTCTGTGGTTTTAAAAACATGTGAAAAAACCCAAATACGACTTGAAAAAAAATTTTAAGAAAATTTTGAAATTTTTTTCGAGTTCCCTTCGGGGTATCTTTGAGCCCCTTTTTACAGGTGCCACTGTGAAAGTCATTTAGAAAAAAAGAAAACCCCCTGTTAAGCTAAACAAGATAAAAAAATGGGCATCTATGTTTAGTTTACAACGTTGTGACAAAGGGGTAAAAACGAAACTGAAACCAATTTAACTAAATTTTGAAAAACCAAAAAAATATTTTAAGGATGGCCTCCCTGAATTTTAGAGAATGGCTTACAAACATGGGTAAAGAAATTCTTTAATAGCAAAAAAGACGGAACTGAAATGAAAGATACTGGTGTCCCTTTTGGGCATACTTGGGAACCCAAAATCTGATAAAACTTTCAAAAAGACAGGGCCCAGGAAAAAAAGTGAAAATAAATTTGGGCAAAAAAATTTTTTTTCAAGGGGAATTTTCATTTAGTTTTTGACCCCTTGGGAATTTTTTTTTTCACCTGTATTTCTTTAAAAAGGTTAAAAAATTTAATTTTTTACAAACCCCCCTTGGAAAAAAAAATCCCCTCATGGGGTGAGTGATAAAAAGATGAAAAAAAATTAAAGAGGCCGGGGGTTCCCCCCGGGTGTCAGATTAGACATATGCAAAATCTCAGAGTGTTCATTTCCAAGGTGTCTATCAATGGAAGGTAATGAAAACATAACCTACAAATTTACTGTGCTTTTGTGATGCATCAAATGAAGTCGTACGCTACTAACTATCTATCTCCATCAGAAATGTGGTAGTGAAGTGAAAGTCGACCTCGTGTTTTGCAAAAACACGACTAAGCACCTGTTAAAACAATGACAGTGCCTCGATTAGAATTGATGGGTGTTTTGACAGGAAGTGTAAAAGGTGTTTGAAATTTGTAGAGGAGCAATTAAAATTGGAGATTTAAAGGATCATACATTTGGACGGATTCACAATGTGTGATAGGATGGTTACAAACAACTAAAAAGTTACCTGTGTTTGTGAGTAATCGAATCAGAGAAATAAAATCATATATGTTATAACAAAGATAAGTTACGTAAAATCAAAAGAAAATCCAGCAGATGTTGCAACAAGAGGAGCAACAATACATGACTTACGCAATAACAAACTTTGGTGGTATGGTCCTCATTGGCTTTCAGAATATTTCGAATTGTCCTCCGAAACAGCGAAGAGTTTTAAATGAAGATCCAAATACGGTTTCTGAGAGCAAACAAGTCGTGGAAAGTAACTCCGAAAACTTTGAAACTGAATTTCTTGATGAAGAAAATCTGTCGATTGCATGTACAATTAATGATCATGACAATATTGTGCTCCATTTGGGATAGACAAGTACCAAGTTTTCTTCTGTTGACAAATTTGATTCGTACTACTGCTCTTGCCTCGCGATTCATTAAGAAAATTAAAAAGCAAAAGTGTGAAAACCAGTCTTAACATCTCAGGAATTGGAAACGTCGGAAAATATGTGGATCCTATACTACAACGAAAACATTTCAGTGAAACTATCTGCCGGGTATATATAATCAGAAACCAACTACCCTACAAAGACAGTTAGGTCTGTTTATTGATCCTAAAGGAATCTTGAGGAGCAAGGAAGACTTGAAAATGCAGGATATAACTGAAGGAGCGAAACAACCGATCTTGCTTCCGCGTAATGAGTGGTTTTCCTATCTGATAATAGAAAAGGTACATAAACAAAATTGCCATTGTGGGAGTTTCTCAAACACTTTCGAAAATTCGATATAAATTTTGGATTCCTAAAGGACGTTCAGTTGTTAAATCAGTGTTAGGTAGGTGTTCGACCTGCCGTTATTTTGAAGGCGGGCCATATAAGATGCCTGCATTTGCGCCTTTGCCACCTTCCAGAGTTCAGGAAGCACTTCCTTTCTCAAGAGTTGGACTTGACTATTTTGGTCCACTGTCGATAAAAACAAAAGACGGACCCAAGAAAGTATGGGTGTGCCTTTTTACGTGTCTCCTTATCAGAGCTATTCATTTGGAGCTTGTACAAGACATGTCTACGGAGGAATTCTTACTAGGATTCAAACGATTTATATCTCAAAGAGGAACACCTGCAAAATTATTAGCGATAATGCCTCTCAATTCAAGGCAGCAAGTCAAACAATAAATAGTATATGGCGAAATGTGTGCCAAAGTCATGAAGTGCAATCTTACGTAGCCAATACTAGAATCAAATGGAAATTCATTGTCGAATTAGCTCCGTGGATGGGAGGAGCATACGAAAGATTAGTTGGAATCGTAAAACGATCTCTTCGCAAATCTCTAGGACATAAATTCCTGACCTTAGTACAAATGCAAACATTGTTGAAAGAAGTAGAGGCAACAGTGGGAATTCAAGGCCGCTTGTATGTCACTGACGACATTTAACTCGAATATTACACTTACACCTAACAATTTTTTGAGCCTTAACCCGAACTTGGGCATTCAAGAAATGGAGACAAAAGACAAAGACAGTGATTATTCACCTAGGGAATGCACAAGTGATAAATTACTAGCAATGTGGAAAAAGGGACAAAAATATTTAAATGAGTTTTGGAGAATTTGGAGAAGATGAGTAAATTGATTAGTCTTCGTGAACGTATGCAGTCAGAACCGAAGTCAAAGAAAATACAATCCATTATAGTGCTCAAAATGGAGATGTAGTTCTTATTAAAGACAATATGCCACGCGGTGTTTGGAAGATGGGACGTATCTGTGAGTTACCTCGAAGTCGGGATGGGCAGATCAGATCAGCAAAAGTAAAAATAGCATCAGGAAAAGTTCTTGGCAGACCTTTGAATTTGCTATATCCGATTGAAATGTAATAGCAAGAGAGATTTGCCGAAATTGGAAAAATGATCATATTCGATCTTCAACCTATTCAGTCGAAAGAGGAGCAAAGTAATCGTGCAGTTCGTAAAGCTGCAGCTAGTGCAAAGCAAAGTATTAAGGAGATGATTACAAATGAATAATGATTACTGAAGTGTTCTCTGATAAACAGTACATTGACAACGATTTATTTGCGTGTTAATGTGTCCTGATTTATAAATTCTTGACACATGTTTGTGGATTTTAAAGTGATTATTGGAACTGTTCTCTGGTGTATACTTTAATATTTTCATGTATGTGTTTTATGTGTTCTATGATGTAAATTGTGCTAAATATAAAGGCTTACATATGATCTGATGATCAATCTATTCTTCAAAGTAGTGATGATAGTGATTCAAATAATGATGAAAGCGGTGGTTCCAGTGGCGATTAGAGTGATGATAATGTTTGAAGTAAAAGTAATAAAGAAGATAATGATAAAAGTGTTGTTAAAGAAAGTGATTAAAAAGAAAGTGAAGTGATTGATGAAAAAGGTGATGCAAATTAAGAATGATGACTGTGAATCAAATAGTGATTCAAGTAATATTGACAGAAAATTCAAAAAGTGATTCAAGAAGTGATGAATTAAATAATTGTGATGGTCATAAAATAAAAGAGGATTGGAAAGCTGTAAAAGAAAAGAGGTAGAAGTAAAGTATAAAAGTGACACAAAGAGTGAATATGAATTTGTATATAATGCAGATGAATTAGATGGATGAAATTTTTATAAACACTTTCTATTCAAAGTATTTCTAGCGACGAGGAAGTACTTTGGTGAAACCTGTTATAATATGAAAAAAAATGAAAAAAGAAAAGATGAGAAAAATTATGAAGTGACAAAAACAAATTGCACAAAAACAGATACATTTGAATATGCAGAGAACACGGATGAGGTAGAAAGTGAGACAGAAGAGGCAAATGGAAGAAGAAATGAAAATGATAGTAGAACAGCTGAAACAGGAAAGTACAAGGCGCCACAGAACAAATTTCAGTGTGACAAAGATGATGATGTTGAAATTTTAAAATGTTGACATACCAGAAAACATAAGAAGAGTAAGAGTCATAACATCAGTAATAGCTGAAGTAGTGTATACCTATAAGAGGAGATGAAAACTAAATACATACTGAACAGTATAGACTAAGATATTTGGTTGTTACCACAGAATAGTAAATAGAACTGAATGATTTATGTTTTACTTAGGTTGTTTACCGATCTTTTGTACCCCCTTTAGCCTCCTTGCTGGGAGTGTCGTGAAATACAACGATTTTTTTGTTTATTTTATTTTATTATCAATGAATGAGCTATATGTTATGCTCCTCGTCTTTGTACATAATAACTTTCCCGCCAAAAATAAGAAAAGCAGCGGGAAAATTATACTTCTAATGCTTTGCCTCCACGCCACCTTTCTCACTTTTTCTTGCTTTTCTTGTAATGTTACATTTTGGCGGTAAATTAGCCTATATATAACCACGCCCTTTTCACAGCATTTGTTAGATTCGGGACATTACAGTCATTGGAATATACACGGTGTGTTTATGTTTAGTTTAAGATAAGAACTATAAAGTTTATAAAAGGTTTGAAATTAAAAATAAAGTGTTTATTGAAAAAGAAATAAAAAGTTTGTCTTCAATGTTGGTGTAAAATCTGAATCTCCACCACAATCAGGGTGATCTGAGAGTCAACATGGCTTTTGATATTATACTGGTAAGCTTATTAGAATACAATTTAAGTTTATAGTATTCTTACATGTAACATAAAACAAAAGAAAGGACTCAACTCCAGCTTTATTTTTTGATTTTAGGTTTTACATCTTTAAACCATTGGCATTATATTCCAAATTTGAAGCACAGTAAGTTTATGACACAAATTTTGCAGGTTAAACCCAGTCAATTGAAAGAGAGGAGGGTCAAATTGGAACAAACTTATATGAGAAAATATTGATGCTTAAGGAATTAGAAATTAAGGAAAAATCTAAAAAATATACACTGGTGAATTTATATGAATAACTATCTTTAAGAATTTACCTCCTCGGAACCATCCACACTTATCAAACTCTGCTCACTCTCTTGACTTGTAGATTTTCCCGCCATCGGCACCGACTGAAAAGAGAACAAAAATATAATTTATTACCATTTCATCAGACATGCAGAATCTCAGATGATCTTCCTATGCCAATAAAATATGCAACAATAAGGTCACTATAATTATCTGAACTCATAACTGGAGTTGAATTTGTGTAAGTGATGTGGGGCTTGCTGAGACTGTATGTCAAACTGTCTTCTGTGAATTTGAAGGGTTTCAGTATTCAGCTGCCAATTGGAGTATAAAATTTTGAGACACAGTCAGCACGAGAAATTGTTTGTACACAGTTTGTACCAGGAATGAGCACACGGTGTAGTAAATAGGTAAGGCATTTCATGCCTTAAACATTTTAAGGGTTACTAGCAAAGTAAGAGAGAAGAAATTGAAAACTCCTTAAAAATCCAAATATTAATACTGACAGACTTTTCCTCTTTGTTAATGCTAGTGACAATAACATTACTTTATAATTCCTATGCCACCTGAAAATCAAGCCAAGCAAGCTAGAGCAGACTATCCAAAACCATATTAGGTAGCTAGCACAAAGCAGAAGTTTCAAGCCAAAAGTATCAATATGCAAATGTAAGTAAGTTTCCAATGAAACACACAATTTCTGGGTGAAAAGTATTTCAACTGAAGTTTACTCAAGTTAATGTTTGTTCTCAACATGCAAATTTGGAGAAGAATGATTCAAGACAGGGCTGACATCAAGCAAGTCAGAACATCTAAAAGGTTTCTAGTCAAACAATGTCATTCGAATTTTTTACCATTATTCTTTAAATATATATGTACCTTTTTAATTTATCTACCTTCACAGCTTATTGGAAAAATTGGAAACTGATAATAATATAATCTCATCCTAAACAATAACTATTGACTCATTCATAAGATCTAGCAATAATTCAATCTCAACCAATATTAATATTTCACAGCTATCCTTACAGTTTATCTAATTTTAGGGCAAATGGCACAAAAATCAATCTTTGCATACTATATTTATATATACAGGGAATTATACATATAGGCTATCCTTTCCTTTATTGAATATTTCCCCAATGAAGAATATAAATCTATGCAAGATAAACATACAATCCTTAAAATAAAACAATTTACAAATACAGCGGATCTCATAACTGACTCATCTCTAAATTTCTGAAATGGATTTTCGGTTCTGCTTTAAAAGTTTGGAACTGTCCTATTGTATTAGTTTTGGAGACACTAAAATTTAACATTAGAAATAGAGATCCTGTTAGGGGTCAAGTAAATAGTAGAGTTTTGGGTCTGTGAGAATACATAAAGGTGGTCGAGGGTCACTGTATGTCATTCTTAATTCATACTGGATAATTAGGGGGTCAAGATATGTTATCTGGAACTCAGCAAATGTGGGTTTTTCCAAACTAATGCCCCTTGCACTACCAAATTTTACAATTACAGCTACAGCACAATAGAAAGTCAATCTGTTGTAGTTGAATAGAACAGAAAAGAACGGTAACCGTTAAGTTGTAAATGTAAAAATGTTTTACCCCCTCCCCCAATTCAGTGATAAAACCAAAAAATATTCTTTATTCCGGAGTTTGTTTTATTTTTAAGTATTAAACTTTATTAGTATTAAACTGAACAGTTTCTAAATTACAACTGAATGCATTATCTCATCAACCTAGTGCAGTAATGAGTTAACTACTTATAAAATCAAATAGGAGTTAACAAATTATTGTTCCTAGTTACACTAAGTTGACATTTTTTTGGCAATTCTTTTTACCTCATGCAGGAATATTAGCTGTCTCTCATTGGCCTAACATTTAGTTGAACTTCCTGAACCACTCTTAAAACATTAGCTCACAATTTAACCACAAAATAACAATGTCTTGTAACTTTGATCAGGCCCTATTTTCTTAAACCCTCACACTGTATAATAAAAGCTCTTATTTCAAGTGCTTTATAAGCTCTTGCATGTCAGAACAGGAAAGGGCATGAAATAATTACAGCTTATCAGTTAATTCACATTCTAGCATTTATAGTAAATAAGTTTTTAAACATTGTAAATCCATCAGAGCAGTCTTCAGGTATTCAAAGTCTATCCCTGTCGTCAAGAGATGTGCTTGATTTACCTAAAATTACAATTGACTAGGAACAAGACCATAGTAGGACATGTATTGATACAAAACAATCAAGTAGACTGTTTTATTGCTGAGTAATGTTGATTTAATACATTAGAAAATGTCGAGTAATTCCTCAGTGAGTGATTAACCAGCTTTCAATAAGTGCTCCCCCCCCCATGCAATGTATTTGCAGAGAATATAAATCTTTCTTGTCCACTATCAAAGGGATATACAGTAGAACTTCGGTAAGTCGAAGTGACTTGGGTAAAAACTTCGACACATCGGGACTTCGACTCATGAATCGCTCTCAATTCCATGACAAAATTTCAACCCGTGACTAGTGCTAATCCTAAGATCTCAAGTGCTAATCATAAGATCTATAACGAAACATGTTTCATGTTTTTCAATCATTAATCAGATATTTTACAATGATAAATATAGCATGTTAGATAACGTTTTTCACGGCTGATTATTTGGGACTTCCCGTTGACGTATACAATAGAGTTACAAAGCGTAACAGTAAGAAAGGCGATAACTAAACCGGCTTTAGTTAATATTTTGTGTGTTATTCTCAAACGCGACACCGGGTCATGGATGTTTTTCAAATTTGAAAGTAGTTCTTACTGTTTACTGTCAAAAATACCGACTACGGCAATTAAAATAGTAACGATAAAAGCATTTTATTACAAATTTTATCGAAACAAAGGCTTTTTGAACAACACGGATATTGTAATTTAACAACCTATCACACAAATGTTGATTGGGAAATCGTCTTCGCAGCCAGATAAGGTGTGACAAAATGTCTCGAGATCGAAACGGTGGTCAAAATAATCGAAAGACTTCGACTTATTTGTGGTAAATTGCACTAGATTTACTTTATACGGACCACGAAAAAACTTCGACACAGTCGAAAAAAATTCGACACATAAAATCTCGACTCATAAATAGGTTTTTTTAAGAAAGGAATATATTAGGGGGAAAAAATCGGGGACTTTCATTTTTCTTCGACACATCGAGAAAATTGACTAATCGAAGTTCGACTCATAGAAGTTCTACTGTTTATATCTATTAAGGGTAGCTACTGTTATAGCTAACTTATTTCGGGGCTCCCTGGCCAGAAAGTATGACAAGAACCTTTGGAACCTAGTATTATTAAGTTTGAATCCTCGGCAGTTGGCTTGCTCTTTACAATCATTCACAGTGCCCAATTGTTTTACAAGATCAAAGTTAGTTCTTCATGTTGCACAATCAATCCAAAACAGTTTTGTTCATGTGATTATTCTATCAATTACTTGTGGGCAAAAGAGAGCCGGGGGTCAAAGGCCCTATATTTTTTTCTTTTTTTTTTAATCTCAAAACTCGGATGATTTTTGATGGTCAGAAACTGGCATAGGAAAGTACGCTGACCAATGAAAAACCTGGGATTTTAGACAAAGATCAGAAAATGTTTTACAGCCAGGTATTGACGAATCAATAGACACACTTCCATGAGGGCCAATTTAAATCTCACCCAAATATGTTTACCTTTACTGCACTGGGTCTTTTACAATTAACAAGCATTGTGAAAAAGCAAAGGGAGGTAAAATATTATTAAAGATTAACAGAGAAGTTCTCAGGGGGCAACAACTTATTGAACTATATTCTTTATGTTTACAGTAGATGTCATAATTAATTAATTATGTAATATGAAAATCATCATATTTATTTTTTAATTCTGCAGGATTTTTTTTTCATGAATTATCTCAGAGAAACTTGGTTTGATCATAATTTTCAATGGAATTTTTTTGAATGAAAGCAATTGGGTTAGAAATTATAACCCTACAGGAAATTGGGAAAATACTTCTTGGGTAATGGGTATGCGAAGAACTTCTATGAAATTAGTTTTATAAAATGTATGATTTTCTTAGTAATTGAGTATAAATTTCTTTCCTTGGACAAATTGCATATGATTTTATTTTCAACACTTATTCTTGCAGGAAACAAGGAAAAAATTTCACAAGTAAGCCTTTTCACACTAAGATCCAAATAACGCTGAAAAATATCATTATATGAAGTGACTACTACAATTTCCCTCCACTTTATTAATGAGTAAGTATTCCATTACATCCACATGCCTTTAACTTCCATGAGAATACTATGGCAACCATCTATCAAAACCGTGATTGAATTTATCGGAAAGCAATGTTGTACGTACTCAATCTGTCTTTTTAGATCATTTCTTAAGGCATACAAAACATCATGTTTCCATGATAATGCAAAATGGGTTTTATTTGTATTATTAAAGAAATGTTTACGTCATCAAAATCCATTGTATACATCTTGTATATACACATATGTTCACAAGAATCAATATCTTTGATAAATGTTTTTTTATGTCAGGAATGAGAACAAATATATATAATGTTCTCAAGTCTGACATAAAAAACATTTATCAAAGATATTGACTATTGTGAACATATTGTGAACAAAATAACAGTATTTCTGTACCATATCAATAACGATAAATATTGTATACTTTGGAATCACAGCTGAAAATCATAATTATGTTCTAAAATGATCATTTCACAGAAAAACTGCTGTCAGTAGGACAGCGTGCTGGACTGTTCTCAGTGCTTGATAGTAAAACAAGAGCCTGGATAATGAAGAATTTTCTGTTAAAAAATGGCCAGAATTCTGTCAAACTCCATGTTAAAAGTTATGGGCCTTGGACAGTGACCTTCTTTGTGGGAAGTTTCAACCCATACAACTCAGTAGTTTAGAGATTCATAATTACATACAAAAACTTAACCTAAGTGTGACACCAATACCTGGGTGAGTACACCTAAGCTCTCCCTATAATAATCTTAGAAAAAATTAAGGTAAAAATGGCCTTGGATATGCAAACCAGTTTCTACTATAACTGTGATGTTTTTAAAAATTAATAACTTGCCTTAATTAATACTGAAGATATACTGTATTACATGTAGATTCATTTAAAGCAAATTTTTGCTGTATTTGATTCATTTAAAGCAAATTTTTGCTCTTCAACATTTAGATCTAATACAAGCTTTACAATGGATGGAGTACCTTAATAAAGACATAAAATCTTTTTTTTTCACATGACATCCAATCTTTTTTCAAAGTATTAATTGTAACCATTTTATATTTCTCTACATTACAATTAATATACTACTCAGGCCTATATAACATCTTTTTGTAGCCATTTTTTCCTTGTATCATATGACAGTCAGCATGTCATACAAATTAATATTACATTCTATGTCATCTTAAGGAGACTTACAAGAAACTTGTACAAAAAATGTTGTGAAGTTTAATACAAATTATACAAGATGTCACACATTTACTTTACTTAACCTTCAGTCTACTGGCCGCAATAGAATCTACTCTGGTGTGAGCAGTGCAGACCAAGATCTGTGCCGGCATGTCCATAGTACTGTATCATAAGTCAGTCAGTACAAATTAAATTTAATCATTTGAAATTCCTATTAACATTGATAAATGGTTTTGCCCAGATTGACAGATGGAAATTATATAAAGTCATTTAAGAAATAATAAACAATTACGACAATTTTCTTAAAGCATCACCATTTAAGTATCAAAACCACCTAAACAATTTGTATTTAAGAGTTAAACAATTGCTCACATATAAACTCAAGTTATGCTCATATATAAACTCAATTATTTGTCTATATTAAACTGATTTAATTAGCTTATAATGAGATCATATAATTATAATCTTTTAACAATACATGTATACAATGTATTGCAGTATCTCCATTAAAGTTAATAACAAGTTATGTGTGTCTATATGAAAATGACAGCTTATGTAAGATAGTTAAAATAATCATTTTATGATACATGTACACCATATAACCATTTCTCTACTAAATCTAATATTACATAAGATCATTTAAAACATTGTTTTAAAACAATTGAAAATACAATGTTAGAAGATAAAATTTGATTAAAGATTAACGAATCTTCAAAATTAAAAATTAAAAAAAGGAAAACTTTCTTACCACTGAGCGAAACAGCTTCTTCTTATACATCCTTTTAAATGATCATATATTTATAAAACCTATGCTGTCACTCTGCCAATTACTTATCACACATTTTTTAAAGAAATCTTCAGCTTTCTACAAAGTCAGTATCTCACAAATCAGCCTGTATATCAAGAAATTTTTATCTCTAAATTTTATCCTCTAAAAAATGTTTTGTGGCATCAAGAAATTATAACCTTTGACCTTTTAGTATCTGATGCACAGTAATTGATACCTGCTATTTATAAAAATGCTGCCAATTTTCATTAAAGGTCAAACATATTTTGAAACAAATTAATACAACTAATCTATTTTAAGTTCACTGAAAATTATGTCTGAACAAGCATCCTAATTTAAACAACCTTATTTTCTCCACCTTTATCCATAAATTAAATTAAGTCCAGGTGGTTCATTTTACCTGATTACATATGTAAGCAAATTCATGTTCAATGTCTTTCAAATCTTGAATTGAAAAAAAAAAGTTTTATCTTTTGTTCTTGAACTTGTCTATTCATCATTAAAGATAAATTGAATCATAATATTTACATGACATTATTTAAGGGCAATGTGACTGCATGTTTTGACTGTTTTAAAAACTGTCAAAATAATTATGTTCCAGGACAAATTTGAGATTTTGTCGGGTTACAAGGTAGTAACTGTTGCCAAAGGTTTGAGGGTTTTTAAGGGCAAATTTACCGTTACTAGGGCAATTCAACTAAGTTATCTTGCCTTTCATGGCAACAATAATGGCAACTAAACTCATTAATCTTAAAGACAATGTAGACCCAGTATTATATGATGTATTTTCCCTCAGTTAACAAAATGATAGAATTATTGTATCTTCTATTTAAATGTTTTACAAAATTATCTTATCATTGACAATATAAGTTGAACAAAAAAAAAAAAACAATGAAAATTTTCAAAGAAAAACAGATGATTCTGATAATGACATTATCTGCTCTTCAAAAAAAAACAAAAAAACTTTCTTCCAAAAAATTTAATGCTAAACTGTTACTGTAGAAAATTCTCTAAACATAATTATTTAGAAGAATTTGCTGCGTAATTTAGAACCTTTACATACAGCAATCTCATTAATATTCATGGAAAAGCCTTGTATTATAGCTATACATATAATAATTAACCTTTCAAGAAAACAAGATTTTCAGACCAACCCCCGAAGGTCAGAATATGACATTACAGAATAATTTATCCACAAGAATTATAAATCAGCAAATTATTCCGAGAAATATCCTAGAATTTCGGAAATATTCAATTCTCTGCACAAAATGTCACAGCTAATGTTTTATCAATTATTCCAGTAAAAATGATCTGCACATTAGATATGTTGTCCTATTAGAAATGTTGTCCTAACATAATAATAATATAGATACTCTGGGCCTCACTGTCTGGAAAATTTAACAATAAAACTGCCACAAAATTTTATCTAAGGTAGAAAACAATGCAGATAACCCAAGAACAACATTTATTAACAATTTGACCTTTAAAATTGTAATGCAAAAAAAAACCCAGCAGAATCTACATTCACAATGCTTTTAAAATGTTATATATTTATCTTCTCCCTTAATTATAAAAAATTCTTTAATTTTAATTCAATTTATTAAATAAAAAAAAAATATCACCTTATTACAAAACAAATTAATGACAGTAAAATTGTATATTAATTAGCTGTAAGTAGAATTCCATTTTACAACAATTTTATAAACAGCTCAGCATTCAAAACATATAAAAAATAATTTTGCGAAAAAACTCAAATCAGCTTAATTAATATGATAAATAATTTAAACCTCATTAATCCTTGTCACAAAAACAAAGCAAAACAACATCCCATATAGTCATTATGCCACAAATGGCACATTAAAACAATCTTTAATTAAATAATTTATTATTATCATATTCCAATTTTGGAGAAAAATTAAAACCCAACTCAACACAGATAAATCCACTCATTTTTCTAACACTTTCAGAAAACATGACCATGAAAAACAAAAGTCCAATCCAATATTATAAATTCTTAAATCAAAAGTCATAAAGAGTTAACCACATAATAAACAATCTATCCAAGCTATAACCTTTATGAAATGACTTTCAAGTGCTAATATCACATGAAAGAACTGCTCTCTCTTTAACTTGGTGATAAAATTTTAAATTGGTCTAAATCAAAACATGTACGAGTATATATACCAGCGCGATAACATTCAGTTTCAAGAGGCCTAAACCTAATGTATTAACTTATATCTCATGTATAAAAGCTGTCGCATTCCCATATAGATTGTATATCAAATTGTGAAACAGCAAAAAAGCAACATTACGGAATCATTAACAACATGCTACAGTAAACAATATACATTAGTGACACACGTGTACCGCTCTCATAGCACTGTATTCAACTTGTCCCCTTCTAAATCTGTACAAGGAACTTATGCCCGTATACGAGTTTAAAAACTGCAAATTGCTCTTTTATATGTTTTTCTTTATGTGGTTCTAAAATTAAAAGTTCGGCATTCGACATATCAACACTGTAAAAATTATAATGGTGCCTTAAATTTCAGTTTGCTGGTAGAGGAAGACCAAAATGTAGGCCTGTCATCTGACCTTCTGTGCCATTAGCTCCAGGCACGTGAAAAGAAGTTGCACCGACCTTTGATTAGCATCAGCAGCGGTCAGGCCATTATATGGACATCTATGGGCCATTTTGGCATTACATGTGGCGGTGGTAGCGCCTGTAGTTTTCACTCGGGATCAAGGCTGTAAACCAGAGTACAGTTCAACCACTGCATCGTTCCTAGGCAGGCTGTCAAGCAGTTTACCATTACTAGTTGCCTTCACTTTTGTAAGGAACTGAAACTTCTGTACAATTGCCAGAGCAGAGGTACAGACTGCGAATGACCATAGAAACGGTTTCAAACACAACGAAAATGACCTGCGCTGTCCGGGAATCAAAACCCGGGTCACCAGATTCACAGTCCCAGTCCAATGCTCTACCTATTGAGCTAACCGGACGACTTTATGTTTGGCATTGTATTATTATATTATTACTATATATAGTCACGTGATGAATATGGCGGACGTGTTTTTAAGCTCCGGATATCACATAAATCTCTTGAATTTTCAAAAAACTAAAACAAACAAAAACCACTTGTTTTATCATAATATGTATTGATAAGATTATTGGACTATGTGTGCTTTGCGATGTGACAATTTGTGTAGGTTATTTGTATATTTATTTTTTGCAAGCACTGTATTATGTACTGTTTATTATAATGTTTTTATGTTGTCTTCGGGCCGTGTTCTTCTCTTTGCAATTGTTGAATTGGCCAAAGGTATGTTATTATGCCGATTTGCTGAATAAACTGAACTGAACTATTATTAAATGACGAGCAGCAACCAAGTATTAATCTCTAACTAAAGGTTGTTGATTAACAAAACATTACAACTTCATAATCTTATTACCTCCCTTTTGCATCAACACTTCAAACAGCAAACAAATCAGTATAATCTAGCCCGCACAAACATTTTTAAACATAATTGATCATCAATGTAAGAAAATATTCCACAGATAAAACATTACTTTCAGGTCAGTTAATTATTTAAAATATTTTGGAATACAAATAGATATTTAAAAAGCTTATCTACTTATTCCTTTTTCAGGTCATAAAGAAGCATTAGGAAAATATTGAAATTGTATGCTTCATGAATTTGAGATCAGAAGTTTGACAAAATATGGGGGGGTTTTGCCTAAAGAATAATCCTTTAATTTGAAAAATAAAGTTATTATCAATTTAATATTTTTTTAGAAATCAAGATTTGTATGGTAAACAGAGACTTTATACAAAGTAAAATCTTAAACATTAAGAAACTGTTGTCGATATACATAATTGTCTATTACATAAATGTCTACAATTAAGGTAGAGTCTAGTGAGTAAAATTCAGTATCAATCAATTGCTTTGATCTTTCCAATTCTCTTTCTCTCAAAACTAGTCAAGTGTAGAATTAATACAATGAGTGAAATCTTCAACCGAACAATACTAAATTTCTTATGTAACTGAATTTAGCTTAATTATTATAATGCTGAGACTAAACAATTTTTAAGCCACCACCTTTTTCAGATTCTTATACACATGTTAAGGTCGTTGACTTCAAACCACTTGCCCTTCACCGCAGTGCGTTCGAATCCCGACAGGGATTATGGATTCTTTCATGTGAGGAAGCTATCCAGCTAGTTACGGAACGTCGGTGGTTCTACTCAGGTGCCTGTTCGTGCCTGACATAATGCATGGAAGGGCACCTGAGGTCTTCCTCCACCAGTAAAGCTGGAACGTCGCGATATGACCTATACTGTGTTCGATGTGATGTAAAACCCAAAACAAACAAAACTTATACACATGTTGAGGGTGTTTTTTTTTGCCTGTGTCCTAAGCTTACAATGACATGAATAAAGTACAGATTCAAATTACCATCATAACTGTCATAATAACACCGTTTTTGACATATGTACTAAACAGTAACATACTCGTACATGACTATTACAACATACGACCCATAGTTTCAGGCAATTTACTGATATAATAAAATATATCCTTCAGCTATTTTGTAGAGCACACACCTTCATAATCTTCATAATTATCTACATGTCTAGGACAGATTATATGAATAAATCATTTATACATACATTTTTTAGCAGTGATATAATCTATATAGCATACTTATGTTTGTTTTTAAACTGTCAACACAAAATAGTATTTATATACTATATCTATGTACAAAGCAATTCAGACATTGTAACAGAGCCCTCCCCACCCCCTCCCCCTCAAAGTATAGTTATTGCAGCTTTTGGATTTTTCAAAGTGACATATAAGTCTCTGCACACTGTGAGGACCTTCCAATGGTAAAATCCCTGCCATCTGACCATGGTCTGCAATGTTCTCTAAATAAAAGACTTACTCCGCTATTAAGAATATTTTGAGTTTTCCCAGCTATTCTGAATGTTAAGTGCAAATAATCATTTAAACTTTTACAGTTGCAACTTAACAGTAAAACAGTCAAGTGGCCAGCATCAATCTAGCTGGACAGCTTCCTCACATGAGAGAATCACATTCAAGTCTCTGATGGGTCAATAGTGAACCCACAGTGGTGAGGAGCAAGTGGTTACTATTTAACACAGCCACAGATGCCCCAAATTGCAGCATGAATCTATGACAGTAGTATTTTGTTAGTACCTAGGGGATTAGCTTGGAAAAACCCACATTTGCCAATTAGTTTCAGAAAACAACTATTCAGTCAGTATACATATTTTGAAATATTCGCAAAAAATTATGAAATGGTAATTTGTCCAGTTTGAAAGAATATTTTAGAAAAGTCCAAGGAATTCAGCATAGCAACCCTTTGCTCTTTCAAAGAATTTTAGCCAATTTCCAACATCAAATTGTAGATAAGTTTTTTAAGTCAACTTTATTTTGAATTTAATTTTAATAGGACAAAAAAGTTTGGTTTTGTATGTATAAGAGGAGAAAGGTACCTTCCCAGATTATTGATCACTTACTTTAAAATTTGAAAATTGTGACATGAGAAATTCATTTAAAACAGACAAAACCAATCAAAATCAAACTATCTTTACCTTTGAAGTCCTTATTTGAAGTCCAATTTAATTCCTGAATAATATTACACTTTCATTTCCACAAATACACAGCAAACCATCATTTTCAGTCCATTAAATTATTGACAGTCAATCCAATTTGTAATCCTTGTCCAAGTTTATACCAGTTTTCATATCACCTGACTTGTGAAATGTTATAACATTATGTCCTACTGAATTAACCTTATACGGGTAATAAACCAAACAAACCACATGTGAAAGTGGACCTTTTCCCCGCTTCCTACGGTCAAATAAATACTACAAGATAACGACATATAAATATGATAACTGGATATATAGTGTATCATACCCCCAGTACCCATTAACTTTATCATCAGTTGATTTCTCATACTTGACAAGCTAGTACCCTACACTAGTGGTGTTGACCCATACATCATTTACTTTGATGTTATTTCATCAACAAACACACATATCATTGGATATATAAGATGAACGCACTGGATGTATCTTAATTATTTCACATTACTTTTAGATAACTGTTTAATTTAGTACGACAATTAGAAAACAAAATATGTTGCAATATCAAATCATTATCATAAAGGATCTGGATAGAAATTTAAAAGATTATCTTATCAGATCTTATATCAGTTTATATTTACATTATGTGTATATATTAAGTGTTATACATGACACTCTATAAACAAAATATTACATATTCATGTACAGGATTTTCTGTCTTCGGGAATTCTTTAAATTTTTACTGTCTATTACATTGTAATGGTTTTCTTTACGTCATTTAGAAGTTCTGCTAAGGGTAAACAATTGTGACCTTGACATTTGACCTGGTTTGTGCATGCAAGTGAACATTTGAGTCAAGTAATGATTAAATCTCTCCATACATTTAGCATATGTCTTAATTAACAAAGCTGGAAGATGACTCAGGACTCTCCCAATCTACTTCAGCCTCCAACCCCTGCACCATCTCCAACCCCACTCCTTCCACCAGGGGCTTAGATCTATATATCGTATCAAATATATCAGTTTTTCTTAAAAAAGACATATCAAAATTGAGCTGCAAACAAAATATTCAGAGTCTGGTCAAGACTGCAGGGATGTCCAGGCTGGCCTGGCTTGATATTACATGATGACAAACTAATCACTTTACATTTTAACAAGGTATGTGTAAAGGGATTGCCTGGCAGTCTTTAATTATCAATAAAGTGTTAATTGTCCAAAAAATATACAAGTATTTATTATGCTGACATATTTAAGCTAGAAATAGTGTACTGTATACAGAATATAAATGTAATATTGCCATTTATTGTTGTAAAAACTGACCATTAATACGTATCGAGAATTATAAATGACAGTTAATTATCAATGATGTATACAGGTAAACACACTTCTTGTAGGTAATATCCCGGACATTCATGACCATATAATTATATACTGATTAACACATCAAGGCACATAGGTGATATTAATAGAAAAATAATATTAATATAAATTTAATATCTTGTAGGGAATATTTATGAGTGATGACAGTACATAATTAACCTGGGAACAATCGTTATGACAGGTTTTTATATTGACTGTTCATTTATATATATATCT